GTTGGAAGGCACCTCTGGCGTTACCGAGTACAACCGTCAGCAAAAATAATAATAATAATAATAAAAATAAAAACAACAGCAGCAAAACACCTCACACCACCCGAACAAACACCACGTCACCACCCCCACCCAAATAAACAAACAAACAAAACAAAACGCAACAAAAAAAAGCAAACCACAGCTTTGGCCACTAAAACATGTCCCAAAGCACCCTGCCCGGGCGGCCCCGGGACACGGCTCAGGCAGCTAATGCTGCCCTGAGCAGGCTGCCTTCGGACGCTGTACGGGAGACTTGAGCATCTCTTGGAAGGAAGTTTTCTTACAGTATACATGTCAAACGGATCCTGGTTACTTAACAGGCTTTAAATTTTTTTTTTTTAAAAAGCGTATGAAACACATAACCAAGTACACCTTTAATACAGCTGAAGGAAAATGCTGTGGCGTAAATACTAGTCCTGTGGCAGCGGAGCTGTTTATTACTGAAGTCAGAGAAGATTCCGGTGAGGAAGAGTAATTGGTGTCAGTTTTAGGAGCTGACCAGAATAATGATGTCATGGATCCGTAGTTGACCCCAAATGCCCCCCTACTCACTGTGCTGTCCTGTTCAGATCTATTTTCCACGGCCTTGCAAAGCCATTTTACCAGCAGCTGGAGGTCCTCTATGTCAGTATTTTCCTGTTTTCCACTCCTTTGAGCAGTGCTACAGGCACTTTGCAGGTAGAACTTCTCCATTTTCTCTCCCTTATGTGACATCAATATTGTTTATCTTCAGAATAGCAAAAGGCTTCATGATGGCTTCATGTAGCTTACAGGGCATATGTATACAGGGAAAAGTAACCTTTATTTAAAAGTGACTGTAATGTAAATATTTAACATTCAGAGTTTATTTTAAGGTGAGTCTTAACAATTTGTCTCTGCATTCTTTTCCTCACATTTAATAAAAACCTTATTTTTTTTAATTAATGACCCCTGAAATCACTTGTTAGGAAGATGAATGCCAATACTGGGCACCCAAGTCTCTTTTTTCCAGTGACGAAGGAAAAGTAGCTACTGTCCCTTTTCTGAGAAGAGTGGCTGGGAAGGACCCTCATGTGGCAAATGCACCCACAGGCAAACAAGCAGCAATGGAGGGGAAACAGATGAAAGCTGTATTAGGTACTGAAGCTGAGGAGTAAATGAGTTAATAAAACTGAAGGGCAGCAGATGCTGTTTAAACTTGCACTGTAGCAGCTGAAACAGCCCCAAACAGTGACTGCAGTTCCCCATAACACTGGAACAACTACTTTTTGTTTCTCTGACCCCAAAAAAAAAAAAAAAAGCAAGCTAGCTCCCAGATTTTAAAAAATATCAAAAAATAAAACAGATGTATGGTTCATAATTAAGAACACTTAGTATTCCCCACAGAAGAAAACAGACTCAGATGTTCATTTCAGGCAGCTTCTTTGTGGAAAAGTAAAGCCAACAAGGTTGAATTTTGTATGTATTTTGTTGATGCCATAGTTGTGTCTGAACAAGTTGAGCTACCCATGTTATCTTAGCTATCCAGGGAAGCATGATGCCACTTCCCATGATATCATGTAGCAGATCTGAAGGACATCATAGTGCAGTATTAGGTCTGGGACGTTGGGCAGATCACCTGTCCTGCATCACACTCTGCAGCTACATACCCTAGAGTACAGACCAGCTAAATGCTACAGCTCAGCTCTTCTTTTATCTGGCCAGTAGCTACACCTTTACAGGACCTACTGAGTCAGTGTGGTAGAAAACATGGTCTCTTCAAGCAACCTCCTCCATACTGCCAGCAACCTGTTTCAATTTTCCTAGTGATCTGAAGCATAAGGCAGTTTTTCAGAGCCTGACCTTTTAGGGAACATTCTCAGGAAAAAAAGTTTTTAATTTATCTCCTTTAAGCAGCATTTTAAATTGCTCACAGTGCAAGTTATCTCCTGTACATATTAGCTATGGAACTGCAGCTCAGGAAGGGGAAGCTCAGAAGGTTTGTATTACACTATTTTCCTCCCACTCCTGTGGAGACTGGTGAAAGGTAAGCTTTGTACTTGAGGTTCCTGCAGTACGTAGCCAGTTTCAGGTCCTCTCTTTACTGGGAACTTGCTACCCAGTGCATGCTAAAGCTTGAGTGTCCCACTCATCTGCCGACATATATTAAGTCAGGGACTTGAAACTTCTCCAGCAAAAAGCAGCCATTGAAGTAGAGTGAAGGCAATTTTTCCTTTCCCTTGTATTCTAATCAAAGACATAGGCTACTGCAGCATTGTGTACCACATACTTCTGTGTTAACTCTGAAAAAGTAACTTTCGACAACTCCCTCTGGAGTACTGGAACATTAGCCAATTAAATGCAAAAGGATCACAGGCTTAAAAAACTTTTTAATTTCTGTTTGATCTGCATTCCAAAACAATTCAAATATGTTATTTACCGTAAAAAAGAGAGCCAAGCTTTTCAGAAATTTAATGCCAACTTTAACCTGTTTCACTATACAGCACAAGTTTGCCAACTTGATGGCATAAAGTTTTTTTTAAAAAAACCAACACATTCCCAAACTCTTTATTAATCTTTCATGCCAGAAATGTGCATTTTATCTACGTTCAATTATGGACAGTACATTAATCCACCCAGCAGAAGTAACATCTGGACATCTACGCTTTCTCATAGTGGCGAACAGCAACCACATCACCAAAGGTGAGAGTCTGCAAGTCCAAGGAAAAGACAGGCATGTTAGATGCTGGGCCATTTTCTGTAATGACTGAACACATATTCAGAAGTCCATGCTACAGCAAGGTTGTTTTACATTATGTAATTTGTAGAAAAACAAGTTGGTCTCGATGATTGGTATTTTAAATTAACAGGAGGCAAACTCTCCTGTGAATCCCGTAATAAACAACCTTCTCCTTGATTCTTTCAAATCCAAGCAGCACATAATGCCTGTGTACTAGGCGACTAATGTGAGACTAGAAATGACTTTTTAATTTCTTATTTTGTGAATGTAGTTTCTTAAACACAACATTGTTTTCATACTTTTTAATACTTTCATACTTCTTAATTCTTTTCCAAAGCTGATCACATTGAAAAATGTGCAATCTAAAATCAAAGTCCTCTCTACCCCTATTCTATACTATTATGCAAGGCATATACTTAAGGAGAACCTTCTGTTAAAATAAATGCATTCTGTGCACTTATGTTGCTACGAGTACCAAATATTTTACTTACTACAGTATGTGTGAGCTTTGGAGGCATTTCCTGAAGCAGAGCAGAGTATCTAACCATGTTCAAATTCCAAAAGAAAAAGCTTTCTGTATATGCATGTACATGTTTCCAAAAGCAAGGCATGTATTTTCCCTTGATTTACCTGTCACTTTGAGTTGCACTGACCATATGCTTTAAGTTTTTATTTATTTGGAATTCTCCATCCATACAGATAGGCTCTGAAGCATCTGGAAAACAAGCTAACTGGTTTTCTCCAGGAGCCAAGTTACACAGATTTGAATAGCTGAAGCAGTTTTTGAAAGCTACATCTTTGTGCCAAAAATAGGCATGAAAAGCACCACCCTGGACATTGCGTGTAGTAACTTAGACCATTTATTTACCTCACACTCCTGTTCCTGCAAACTCAGGAAAATAACGTAAATTTAAAACAAGACTTTTCTTCACACAATTGCTGTTTATCACAGTTTTTAAACAAGATGGGAGGAATACACCTTTTATTATTAAATATGGAAATGCAATATTGCAATTCCTGAAAAATGTTATTTTCCTAGGGAAAAACTTATTCTATGTAATTAAATGTTATTTAGGCATGCATATAAGAACTAAGTTTTTTAAGACATCTGAATTAGTACTGGCAACAAACCATTGCCCACATAATTAACAACTTTGTATCTTTTCCAGCTTAGTGGGGCTTTATTTTTTTCCTTGGGCGTTTACACAGACTCTATAAAGAAGGTATATGCTTTGAAAATCTACAGGCAGACCTGCTTAAAGCCACTAGGGATTTTTCAGTTGTCAGTAAAAGACAAAAACCAAATAAAAATAAATATTTGAAAAATCTCTGCTAGCTTCCCTCACCAACTGGTTTAAGGGTTTGTGTGCAAGTAACACTATCTGGTTGTAAAGTCTGAGATAAACCTGAGGAGTGTTAACGGTGTTTGTGAACAGTCAAGTGAGATTTTTATACTTACCATCACCATTTTGCCATCCTTTATTTCTCTCACAAAGTTTGTCTCTTTGCCATCCCACTTCTGTACGTGCACTAGCTTGTCTCCATCCAGGGTCACAACTGACTGTGAGATACCAAGAAACACAAAGGAATTCATTTATTTGAGGCATTTGGGATTCTGTTCACACATTCAGCATGCACTATTCTATTGAATTCTCTTCAATAGATGGATGTGGATCTAGAATGATAAAGTAGTCCCAGCCATTTTAAAACCAAGCTCATGAACGATCCTCGTTCTAAGCACAAACTCCATACAATTCTTGAAAAAAATCTGTTTCCTTTGAGTCCCCATCTCACAAGAACCACTGTTTCAGATGTGCTTTGTGATAACATTAATGTTATGCTGCCAAAGATGAAGGGAAGGAGGCATTTCCCCAGATCAGCTGGAAAAAGTTATGCCAAATTATACTTGGATTGAAGGAAAAGTGGTCAGCTAACACAATTCTTTGCCACAGGAGGGTAGAGAGGGGGCTGGTGACATAACACATTGCTTCAGACAAGACATGCCATTAAGGAGGCAAGCAAGAGGGAACCTTGGTGGGTTTTTTTTTGTTGTTTGTTTGTTTTTCCCCTGACCTTCACAGTGCTACAAGTGGCAGTAGCAGAAGTTACTTTTTCCCTTTGAGCCTTCTAAAGATACAGTCTCAAGGGCAGGGATAGGGGTGGAAGAAGAGGAGAAAAGAAGCTACTGTTGGCAGAGGATTAACTTACTTTGCAGTTTCTGTCATCGGGGGTAGTTTCATCAAATTCCTCTCCAAGCTTAAAGCTGATTTCTGTGTTTTTGAAAGTGCTTTGAGTCTTGATCACTACTTTGTCCCCCTCGCTGCTGATAATCACAGTAGGTTTAGTCACATTTCCCACCTGTCTTGTTGCAAACCCCACTCCTAGACCACCAAGGGAAAACAAATCCATCAGACATTCGGCTTTCTATATCTTTTTCACCAGGCATCGAAATACAAAAGTCTCTTCCCCCGCTCTAAAGCTTTAAGCTATCGCAGTGAAATCCTGCATGCTTGCTTCGCTTGTGCCCTTATGCCCGAAGTATCAACAGCTGCATCCACATGCCCACCACAGATGTGGCAGCTCTGTATCCTCCCCTACCTCCGAGCACCGACCCCTGGAACCCGACCGAGCCGCGCCGCCGAACGGGTCGCCACCGCTTCAGCTGCTGGGGATTTATGTCAGCTCCTTACCACTCCAGCATAAGGGTTGCTTTCCTTCTTTCCAGTTTATCTGCAGGCAGCACTTGCCCTTCTGTCATACGCTTTCCCTGACCCAGAGACATCTCCCGGAGCAGGGAGGAGCC